GAATAGAGGCGTCAGAGGCGTCATCGGGCGTCAGGCCAATAGAGGCGTCAGCCAGAATAGAGGCGTCACAGGCGTCATCGAGCGTCAGGCGAATAGAGTCTTCAAATAGAGTCTTCAACACACTAGAGTCTTCAAATAGAGTCTTCATCTTCAGGCCGAATGGGGAACCCACCGGGCCACCCCCCTGTATATATATATATATATATATATATATATATATATGTATATATATACCTACCTACCTGCCTGCCGACCTACCTACCTACCTACCGACCGATCGACCGACCGACCGACCAACCTACCGACCAGCATACCTGCATACAGACATACAAACATACATGCACACCTTATATATACATGTGTATATATACACATACATGTACATACACATATGTATACATATGTGTGCGTAGATATACATGCACACATGTGCCTCCTCCCCCAGCACCCCCGAACCGACAAGTCCACCACTACATGCACTGTTCGTGTTCGGTTCCTTCTTCCTCTCCTTCTCATCCTCCTGCTGCTCCTCATGATCCTCATCATCATCGTCATCACCATCCTCATCCCCATCCTCATCCTCATCCCCTTCCCTCTCGAACGCCGTCGAAACCGTCGAACTCGCGAAAACGCTTGAACATAAGCAGATAAACGATACAACAAACTATGTCGTCGGGTGAACCTCGACCCCGTCCCGTCTCCCCAGAAGTTTTCCCGACATCAGAATGTGTGTGTGTGCGTTGTTTTATTTTTATGTGTATGTGTGTTGTTTCTCGGTGTCGCTGATGTTTCCTAGGTTGTCCAAGGTGTTCGAGAAGGGGGAGTCGCAGGGGGAGGAGGAGGAGATGTATCGGAGCAGCGCTGCCTCGTCTGCGTCCTGTCACCCGTCGCCGCCGCAACCGACCGCGACCCCATCGATTGCAAGTCATTATGTAGCAGTTCTTGGTGTGATATATTGATTCAAGGCGTTCTGTCTCAGCGTTTGCAGTAGCCCAACAAGCGTGTGCGTGGTTGTGCTCGGTGTTCTGGTTTGCGCTATCCCTCTGTTGCCGCCTCGCGGCTGGTAGTTGAGGGCAGTTTTTGTCGTAGCTGCCCTGAGGCGCAGTTGCTGTGTTGCGCGCCTCGGTGTCGTTTGCCTCCTTCTCTCTCTCTCTCTCTCTCCCCCCCTATCTCGCTCTCACGCTCTCCCTTTCTCTCTCTGTCTTCCTTCCTTTTTTGTTCTCTCTCTCTCTCTCTCTCGCAATATCCCTCCTGCTCTTGCTTGTCGTCTTCGCCCCCCTCTCCCTCTCCTTCGGCGCTCGTCGCAGAGCCGCTTCCTCCTGGGCTCGCCCAGGGGGGACAGCCCTTCGTCGCCGCCGTCGTCGCCGCTGGCCCTCCTGCTGGTCGCGGCGCAGTCCTCCCCCTCCTGCCTGCTCCACTGTGGGGGGGGGGCGGCCTTCTCCTGCTGCGACGGACAGCCCTTCGTCGCCGTCGTCGTCGCCGCTGGCCCTCCTGCTGGTCGCGGCGCAGTCCTCCCCCTCCTGCCTGTTCCACTGGGGGGGGGGGGCGGAGGAGGAGGAGGAGGAGGATGAGGAGGAGGAGGAGAGGGGAGGAGGAGGAGGAGGAGAGGAGGAGAGGAGGAGGAGGGGGGGGCGGCCTTCTCCTGCTGCGGCCCTCGAGGCCCCTCGCTCTCCGCCCCCCGCGCCGCCCCCCTCCCCGCGCCCGCTGCTCCGCGCCGCGGCGGGGGGACGGCGCGGAGGCCTCTCGGGCCGGTGGCGCCCCGGCCCTCGAGTGGCTCGGGGGCCCCCGAAGGGTGCGGTTGACCACACCGTGCGGTGAGTCGGTGGGGATTCGGGGTCACCGCACGGTTTCGGGGCTCGGGTCCCTCTCCGAGGATGTCTCGGGCGACGGGGGCCTCCAGGGTCCCAGGGCCGTGCGGTGGCGGACCGTGCGGTGAGGTGGTCTCTTGGGGTTCCGAGGTCACCGCACGGTCTGTCACCGCGCCGCTTCGGGACTCCAAAGTTGCTGGCGCACCTTCGGGCAGAGCTCCTGGTCGCACACCCCGGCGACGAAGCTCTCCCGCCTCGGAGGCGAAGCGACGGCGAACGCACCTCTTGCGCCAGAGGGCAGCCCTTGGTTCCTGCCGGCAGCTGCCCCAAGCAGTCCAGGTGGTGCCGTCGTCTCTGTTTTGCCCGCGGCCGCCAGACTTGCCAAGCCGCTAACTGGCGGTGCGTTTCCATGGCCGCCGCCCCCTTTTGTTCGCGCAGTTTCTTCTCGTGCATCGCCTGCTTCGGCTTCTTTTCTGCCAGCTGTCTTGCATGATGTGTGTGTGTGTGCGTGTGTGTGCGTGCGTGTGTGTGTGTGGCGTGTGTGTGTGGCGTGTGTGTGGCGTGTGGCGTGTGTGTGGCGTGTGTGTGTGGCGTGTGTGTGGCGTGTGTGTGGCGTGTGTGTGGCGTGTGTGTGTGGCGTGTGTGTGGCGTGTGTGTGGCGTGTGTGTGGCGTGTGCGTGTGGCGTGTGTGTGGCGTGTGTGTGTGGCGTGTGTGTGGCGTGTGTGTGGCGTGTGTGTGGCGTGTGTGTGGCGTGTGTGTGTTGTGTGTGTTGTGTGTGTTGTGTGTGTTGTGTGTGTTGTGTGTTGTGTCTTGTGTCTTGTGTCTTGTGTCTTGTGTCTTGTGTCTTGTGTCTTGTGTCTTGTGTCTTGTGTCTTGTGTCTTGTGTCTTGTGTCTTGTGTCTTGTGTCTTGTGTCTTGTGTCTTGTGTCTTGTGTCTTGTGTCTGTGTGTGTCTTGTGTCTTGTGTCTTGTGTCTTGTGTCTTGTGTCTTGTGTCTTGTGTCTTGTGTGTTGTGTCTTGTGTCTTGTGTCTTGTGTGTTGTGTGTTGTGTGTTGTGTGTTGTGTGTTGTGTGTTGTGTGTTGTGTGTTGTGTGTTGTGTGTGTGTGTTGTGTGTTGTGGGTTGTGGTGGGTTGTGGGGTGGGTGTGTGTGTGTGTGTGTGTGGTGTGTGGTGTGTGGTGTGTGGTGTGTCGTGTGTGGTGTGTGGTGTGTGGTGTTTGGTGTGTGGTGTGTGGTGTGTGGTGTGTGGTGTGTGGTGTGTGGTGTGTGGTGTGTGGTGTGTGGTGTGTGGCTTTGGTGTGGTTGTGTGGTGTTTTGTGGTGGTGGTGGTGTGTGGTGTGTGGTGTGTGGTGTGGGTGTGTGTGGGTGTGGTGTGTTGTGTGTGAGTGGGTAGTGGGTGTGGGAGTGGTGTGGGTGTGGGTGTGGGTGTTTGGGTGTGGGTGTGGTGTGGGTGTGGGTGTGGGTGTGGTTGTGGGTGTGGGTGTGGGTGTGGGTGTGGGTTCTTGAGGGTGGGGATGTGTGGGTGTGGGTGTGGGTGTGGTGTTGGGTGTGGTGTGGGTGGGGGTTGTTTGTTGGGGGTGTGGGTGTGGGTGTTGGGGGTGTGTGGGCTGGGGGTGAGTTTGTGGTGGGGTGTGTTGGGTGGGTTTGGTGTGGGCTTGGTGGGTGGGTGGGTGGGTGGGTGGGTTGGTGGGTGGGTGGGTGGGTGGGTGGGTGGGTGGGTGGGTGGGTGTGTGCGCCAATTCTTTGATTCTCCCTGCGCTTGCCCATGCCGAGCGAGTCACCGAAATTGTATCTGGCAGATCCACGCTGATGTGATCTGGCATCGATTGGTCCACCGGATCCTGGACCGTGCGGGCTCGAGAAAGCACCCGCACGACGACGACGGAACCTTTGAGCAAGGGCGAGGCCCCTGCGTGCGCCCCTGGGCGTGCGCCCGGGCGCGCGGGGGGAGCGAGGGCCCAGGGGAGGTCCCGCGGCGGAGGGAGGGCCCCGGGGGCCGTCGAGCCCCGTGCGGAGCCGCCGCGAGAGGCGAGGAGGAGCGGCGCTGCACAGGAAGCCACAGCGACCTTCCGCCGCAGGCTGCGCGGGCCGGCCGCCCAGCTAGGGCACCGCGCGGGGAGAAGAAGAGGGCGCTCGCGCGGAGGCCTCACCGACGCGGAGAGCTCGCGCGCGAATGCCCGCGCAGTCGATCGAGCTTTCTCTCGTCGCTCGGGTGGCCCTGTGTCTCGGAGTCCTGGCTGTAGCACTCCACGCCTCTGCCATGATCGTTCGGGGCTCGACGCCTGCCCCCCCCCGACCAGGGGCGACAGAGGCCCGCCAGCCTCTCTCCGGCTCCCTGGGCCTCGGACTCCTGGACACACGACTCCACCTGGGGAGGGAGGCGACTGGGACGAGGGGAAAGATGGGGTGATGTGAGCACGGTGGGACGGTGGTGAGAACTGGGGGGAGGGAAAGGAATGATGAATAACAAAGAACAAAGTCAACGATCACAACCAGGGCAAAGACGAATGAGCGACGAGAAGGAAAAGTGCCCCGCGCACGATGGCATAGCGACCTTACGCGGTGGCTTACGCGGGCCGCCAGCGCGGCACGCTGCATTGGAAACAAGCGCGCACCCCGAGGCTGCGCAGCCTCCGAGAACCGAGGAACACGTTTGTTGTCAGCGACGAGGCGGCGAACTTCGCTCCAGCGAGAAGCTAGAAAGGGGCACTGACTAGCGAACCGACGGAAACACCCAACAACCTCGAGCCGCGATTGCCCCCCCCGAACGGTGCCCGCTGGCTCTCGGCCCACAACTCGGCGCTCAAGGCGGTCGTTCGGGGCGAGCGCTCTCGATGAGGCGCAGCTGGTGGTGGAAGGTGCCCCAGACCTTGAGAGACCCGACGAAGCACGCCGCGAACTGCAGACCTCGAACCTCGAAGCTTCGCCCCCCTTCCCACCCATCATGCTCCCCCTGAGGACAGAGTTGGAGGCCTGGAAATGGGCACCAACTCCCAGACATGGGGGCTGCCTCCACAGCGGGGAGGTGATCCTAGACTCCGGCGCTGGTGGTGCTATCTCGCTCACCCTGGCAGCCAGAATACCACCACCACCACCGAGATCGGGACCTCCTTCCCGCGGTGGAGAGGCACCCCGCCGCTGCTGGTCTGGGTGCCAATCTCGGAGCCTGCGACACAGAGGCGCCGCGCCGCGCCTCCACCGCCGAGCAGCCGCGGCAGCGCGGGTTGCCCCACGGGCTCACCCCCAGGCCGCAGCCGCAGAGCCTCTGCGTGCGGGGCGGCCCCCCGGCGGCCCACCGGCGGCCCATCGGCGGCCCATCGGCGGCCGATCGGCGGCCGATCGGCGGCCAGCGGCGGCCGATCGGCGGCCCCGTCGGCGGCCGTCGGCGGCCGATGAGGAGGAGGAGGAGGAGGAGGAGGAGGAGGAGGAGGAGGAGGAGGAGGAGGAGGAGGAGGGGGAGGAGGCGGAGGACGCAATCGAGATGCGGAGAGGAGCGGGGCAGAGGGAGGAGACGGCGAGGAGCGAGAGCCTGAGCAGGGGGGCGGGGAGCGGGAGGCGGCGGGGAACGGGGGGGGGCGGGAAGGGAGGGCGGAGCTGCTGTGCGGTCATAGAGGCTGCGACGGCGGGCGGGGGTGGCCCTCGGGGCGCAGAAGCCCAGCCCGTCGAGCCCCCGCTCCGCCCGTGGACCTGCGGCCCCACGGGGGCGGGCCGGCTGCGCGCATGGGGAGGAGGGAGCGGGGAGGAGAGCCCAGCTGGCTGCACGCAAAGGGTGGCCCTGGACCTGGGCAAGACGGATCCCGGCTGCGCGGCCATCGCATAGGCAGTCCGCGGACGGAGGACCCCGGCGTGCCCGCACAGGCGTCAGGTCGGGCAGGCCCCCCTGCAGGCGAATCTGCGACGAGAGATGACAACCTGTCAAACATATTTGTTTTAAAGAAAGGTTAGAACAGAGATTCAAAACATCGCCCCCAGACTATGTGTTGCATGTTTTTGCATGCTCCTGCAGAGGGACATGCCCGACTTAGCACAAGCGGGAGCTCTGGCGAAGGGTCCTTCTTACGTGGTCGATTGAACATGACGCCGGCATCTGGCGGCCGCTGGGGACGACTCGGGCACCCCAGAACGCTGTCAGCGAGGCGCGGATGCTGGAGAAAGCCCCCAGGCTGGAACATTTCCAGGAACCGACGCAAGCGCATGAAATTCAACCGTGGAGCTCACATGTACGGCAAGCTCGTGTCGTGACGACCTCGGCAATGGCTTCTACGACCGCGTGCATCGCTCAACCTCGAACCATCGGCGGCCTTTCGATCGCTGGACCAAACAAAACTGGCCGATTCTGGGCCGCTGGCGGCGCCCCACCTTGAACGCCAGCTGTGGAATCGCCGCCGCGCCAACGCGACGCGAACCTTCCGTGGCCGATCGATGCTGGACGAGGAAAACGGACCAAGACGGGAAGGACGAGGGCGGCTCAGGGGCAACATCACGGGGGGACCAGCTCCGGGGGGGAAGCATCGACCTGGAATCGGCAGTACCTCGCCGGTACATCGGCGGTGGGTGGGCCCACGAGATGTAGCCGATACGAGCGCTCCCTGGCGGACAAGTTGGAAGGGGTCGACGTACCGCCCTCGTGCCTATTCTAGGGGGCCACATGCGAACCCTACCCCTACCCCCCACGATTTCTGAGGGGGAGGGGGGGGGTCAATTCGTTCGGGAGCTCCCGAGCAAAGTGAACCCCACCCTCCCCCTCAGAAATCGTGGGGGGTAGGGGTAGGGCTCGCATCTGGCCCCCTGTATTCCCTCTCCCTGCCGCCCCGATCTTTGCCACGTCTCCGGGCCATCACCAAAAAAATCTCTGGCGGCCGCTCGCGACGACCCGGGCGGCCCCGGGGACCGCGCTCGGCGGGGCGCAGCCGCCGGAAGGCACCCCGAGGAGGGGACGACGCCGAGAGCCGACGAAGACGTCCTGTTTTTTGGGGGCTCCACGCCGCCACCTCCAGATCCCAGCAGGGGCTGGGAAAAACTCGAATGCTACGGCGAAAGGGGGGGGCATCCGAGTGCAAAAGGCTCAAGCTGCTACCTGCGCGAGACCGCACAACGTGAAGCTAGCAGCGAGCGCGAAGACCTCGAGCCTCCGAGAGTGCGGGCAGGACTGCGAGTTCCAGGCGCGCCCCTCCCCAGAGAATGTGGACACGAATCTGGCCCCTGGCGGCGCAATTCGTATCCGCATGCAGCCACTGCGCCTCGGGCTTGTGGCGCCCCTCCCCAGAAGAGGCCAAGGCGCACTGGATGTGGATGTAGATCTCGTCCGCAGAGAATGTCTCTGAACCTCATTATAGCATCGGGTCCGGACACCGGGGCCTCCCCCAAGACGAGATCTTCATCCCGAGTCGTTTTCTGACAGCCTGGGGCCTGGGGGAGAGCCCCGAGAGCCCGAAAACGGCGAAAAACCTCAGGACCCATTTCCCTCAGGACCCGCTTCCTAGGGGAACGAGTAATTACATAAACATAAAGATTCGGAGGTCCGCGCGGGTATCAAAGAAATCCGCGCGTAGCGCCAAAAACCTATGTTTATGGTGTGTTCCTGCTTCGACGTTTTCTCGGGGAGCTTCTGGCCCGGGTCAATCCAGACCCGGGTCAGTCAGGCCGTGCAGAATCCTGCAAGAACCTGCAAAGATCCTGCGCCCCAACCGGGGTCCATGCGAAGGATCCTGCAGCATCCTGCAGCAGCCGGCACCCAGATCCGGCCCTGGCCCTGCAGGATCCTGCAAGATCGTAGGGGACCGCATGCGAACCCTACCCCCACCCCCCACGATTTCTGAGGGGGAGGGTGGGGTTCACTTCGCTCGGGAGCTCCTGGGCGAAGCGAACCCCACCCTCCCCCTCAGAAATCGTGGGGGGTGGGGGTAGGGTTCGCATGCGGCCCCCCAGATCGGGCGCTCTGGCTGGCCCCCGTCTGCGTCGACCCCCGACTCGAGGCTCCAGCCGCCTCCCCCCTGGCGAGGAGGGCCGCCCGGGGCTGCCGCGGCCCGCCGGCCTGCAGCGGCCCTCCACGATGCCCGGCGAGGCGTCGCCCGGGGCGGGGCCGGAGGAGCAGCTGCTGGCGGGGCCTCGGCGCGCGCGGGGGCGCTCGACGGAGGCGGCGGCGCGGCCCGCGCCTCCAAAAGAGAGGGGCCCGGAAAGGCACAGATACCTAGAGACGCGTGTTCCATGGCGTCCACATCCCAGACAGGATCGCGCCGCAGAACAAACATCAGGGCGGGCGGCTTTTGGGCCGATGTCGTCCTCGGGGGGCCCTCGCCGGGCCGCGGGATCGTCGAAAACGACTCAGGATGAAAAACCGGTCCCGGGGAAAGGGTCGGGACTTCCAGGGACTCCGTATTGAAAAAATCAGGACGTCGCACGTCTGGGATATATGCTTCAAATGTTATACATGTTCGGCTTCTCCCCCACTTCCACCATGTGCCTATCTTCTCCTGGGCATCAACACATTAACTTGTGTCTGTGCCCTCTTCTATTTGTTCCTGATCTCTCCTCCTCCAGGTTAGGATGCACCTCCCAGGAGAAGTTCGCACAGTGTGAGCTCAAGAACGCGGGCCCCGAATTCTCAAAGTTGGCAGGGCTTGCCGCGTCTTGTCGCTTGACTTGTTCGGAGCCAAGGAGGGCCTGAAGACGGGCCGAGGGGGCCCCTGGAAGCCCCATCACGGTCCGAGAGGACCCCGAGTCGCCCCATGGCGCTCGAGATGGCCCCCAGGCGGCCCAAAAGGCCTCCAAGGCGCCCTAAGAGGCCTCCAAAAGGCCTCCAAAGAGAGGCCCCAAGAGGCCAAAGTCGTGTATCGTCCGTGGGTTTTTGAGGACGTTGGCGTTCTCGCCTTTTCGGCTCCCCGACGCTCCAAGGCGGCCCACCAGGTCCCCAAGAGGGCCCAAGACGGCCCAAGAGGGCCCCAAGACGGCCCAAGAGGCGCCCAAGACGTCCTAAGAGGGCAGGGCCCGAAGACGGCCCCAAGTGGGGGCCCTGATGGAGACCCCAAGAGGCCCGCCCCACAGAGGACCCCAAGAGGCCCCAAGAGGCCCCCAAGAGGCCCCCAAGAGACCCCGGAGGCCGCCAAGAGGCCCCAAGAGGTCCCCAAGAGGCCCCCAAGAGACCCCCAAGAGGCCGCCAAGAGGCTCCCAAGAGGCTCCCAAACTGCTCCCAAGAGGACCCCGAGAGCGCTCCAAGAGACCCGAAGAAACATCCCCAAGAACTCTGACCCACAACCCAGGCACGGTGGGAGCATGGGCCGAAAGCCATGTTATACACGAAAAGCATGTGGCGCCAAGAACCATCAATGCTTTGCCTGAGCGGCCGCTGTAGCCGCGTCTCTGGACATCAAGCCAATCGTGACAGGCAGCATCAACTGAACCTCCAGCTGGAATAGCACAGGGAGGACCCCACCGCCCCGCACGCAGAGGGCACGGGGGGGGCGTCTCCCTTTACAATTCCGGGGTCTTGACATCTGGAGGCAACTCCTGGGAGGGAGTCGTCGGAACGATTCGTGGCCACTGAGCTGGATTGAGCAGGATTAGGGCGGGGATTGGGCCAGGTTCAATTGAATTGAGCGGGTTTCTGCCGGATCAGGCCGACTTTCGGCCACGTAGGTTAGACCAACTCCTTTGCTGAATTGACCCTCCCAGGAGATGCATCCTAACTTAGGAGGCAACTCCTGAGAGGTTTAGATGCCCGTTCTGGAGACATTCCTGGAGCCACTCGCTCCACTCACGCGCCGATGCTGCGTCAAACGCACGTCGACTTGAGTCGAACTTGAGGCGAAACTGAGTCGAACCAGAGTCGAGCAGATCTGTGTGGGGGGGGGCGCAGGAAGGTCCCCCAAACGAGAACAAGCACGTTTCTCTATTCTCGGCGATAACGTGCGTTATGGGGGGTAGCCAGGAGCCAGGGGGGGTATAACGTAGCGCGCCCCCCCCGCCGTGCGGTTGCGGTTACGACGACGACGACAACGACGACGACGGCGACGACGACGACGACGACGACGACGACGACGACGACGACGACGACAACGACGACAACAACAACAACAACAACAACAACAACAACAACAACAACCACAACAACAACAACCACAACAACAACAACAACAACAACAACAACAATCATTTTACCCGAACGCTCAGTGTTCTCCCCAGTGCCAGGGTTTTCATGCGACGCCAGCCAATACCCCCACTTCGTGGGGGGGCAATGCAAGCTCTACCAAACATCCACACGACTCTCGGGAACCACCCACACCCAGCTTCCCGCCCTATGACGTCAGGACACTTCACTTCGTGGCGCGCGGACGATCGTGGATACTACACTGGCGTGGAGTACACACCCGCAGAGGTTGATCACTTGTTTGGGCCCCGCATGTGCCCCGCATCGCGCATTTGTTGCGCATGACATACATAGTACAAAGACAGAGAGAGAGAGAGAGAGAGAGAGAGCAAGACAGAGAGCCAGAGAAGAGAGAGAGAGAGAGAGAGAGAGAGCAAGAAAAAACGAATGTGTCCCGCATGGTATTATTTGACAGGGATGATGGCCCTGGCAGGTGCGCAACCGTTGTCGCAGAAGTTCGAAAAAGTTGCTCGCAAAAGCCCGTTTGACAGAATTGTTTAAAAAGTGTTGGTTTTCCTACGAATCCGCAAGAGCGCGCGGAAGGACATTTTGACAATTTTTTCTTAAAAAACCATTGGGTTTTTGATGTTTTTATGTTAAAATCGCTACGAAACCTAAGGTTTTGGAAGGATTTCGTCTTGCGCGCACGAATGTCCACTTTACCTTATTTTTTGCAAGGGATTCTTGCAATTTGATCAAGTAAGAACAAGAATTTTCATTTTATAGTGTTTTTTGCAAGGGAAAACGGATTACAACAAAACAACCGGATCCGGACACAATCCACTTTTCTGAAGCTTTCGCTAGAAAATGAAGGAAATGAGGCTGCGGCCTAGGTTTTGGAGGGGGGTCGCGCACCAGGGGTCTCAACAATAATATTTCTTTAGAAGTAATAATGTTCAACAACAACGACGACGACGACGACGACGACGACGACGACGACGACGACGACGACGACGACGAGCGGTCACGACGACGACGACGACGACGACGACGACGACGTCCGCTGGAAGCCTCCAGAGACCTTCCTGAGGTCATCCGAAGGCCTCCAGAGGCCGTCGAAAGCATTCGAATGCGTTTGACAACGACGAGCGACCGCGAGCGATGATGACCGACGACAACGACGACGACGAAGATGACGACGACGACAACGACGACGATCGACGACGACAAAGAGCGACGACGACGACAAAGAGCGACGACGAGCGATGACAACGACAATGACGACGACCGACAGCGAAGAGCGAAGAGGAGTTGTGGCGAGCATGTGCATGCGAAGGCGTCATTGCCTCCGCGTGGCGTATAAGAGGTATGCTCGTTTCTTCTCTCCTCCATCCTCGTCGTCGTCGTTGTCGTCGTCCTTCTCCTCCTGTTGCTCTCTCTCTCTCTCTCTCTCTCTCTCTCTCTCTCCTACGAACACCAAAGTGCATGAGAGCACCGCAGCTTGCCCGCGACCACCGCCCCTATGCGGATCTCTATGCGGATCCTTACAAGAATCCCTATGTGCATGCCTAGGCGGATCCCGATGGACATCTCTATGCGATCCCCATGCCGATCCCTATGCGGATTTCCGTGCGGATGCCTTTGCGGATCCCTATTCGGGTTCCTATGCGGATCCGTATGCGCACGGCGGCAGTGCCGGGGTCGCACTGGGGGCACTGGGGGCCGGAGCGTAACATTATAGGGGGGGGGGGGTCGGGGGGGCCAAAGCGAGCGTTACGGCCCAAGCAATAAAAAAACATTTTTTCTCAAAGGTCGTCGGAATGATGAGGGCTTGCAGACCCGACTAAAAAGCGATTGAACCAGATCTGGCCAGGTCAAGCCCGAGACCTATGAAGCCGCATTGAGCGGGACCAAGCCGGGTCGAAACGAGCCGAGGCAGGGCAGTGTTCCACCGCGGAGAGCTATACCAGCGCCAATACTGAGCTCAACCTCTCGAGAACTGCATCCTCCTCCAAGTTTGCGCACATGGCGACGACTTCACCCAAAGTGGCAGTGGACCGCCTCCTCGTCCTCCTCCTCGTCCTCCTCCCTTTGGTATCACTACTCTTGAAAATGCGCTCCTCTACATGAGCATCACCCTCCACCCTCCGTGTCCCCCTCCCTCTCCGCCCCCTCCCCCCCTCCCCCTCCCCCTCCCCCTCCCCTCCGCTCTCCTCCTCCCTCTCCTCCTCCTCCTCCTCCTCCTCCTCCTCCTCTCCTCCTCTCATCCTCCTCCTCCTCTCTTCCCTCATTGCTCCTCCTCCTCCTCCTCCTCCTCCTCCTCCTCCTCCTCTTCCTCCTTGATCCCCTCCTCCTCCTCCTCCTCATCCTCCTCCTCTTCGTCCTCCTTCATTGCCTCCTCCCCCCACCTCCCCGCCCCCCTCTCTCTGCCTTCCCCCCCTCCCCCTCCTCCTCCACATCCCCCACATGCCGCCGGCACGCCCCGCCCGGGGCCCCGGCGGGACGGTGGCGGGCTGGGCAGCAGCAGCGCGCTCTCCCTGCCGGTGACGGAGGGGGGTCGGGCAGGGCGGGCTCCTCGGTCGTGGTCGCGGTCGTGATCGTCGTCGCCGTGGTCGTCGTCGTCGTCGCTATCGTCGTCGTCGTCGTCATCGTCAGCGTCGTCGTCGTCGTCGTCGCAATCTTCGCCGCTATCGTCGTCGTCGTCGTCGTCGTCGTCGTCGTCGTCGTCGTCGTCGTCGTCGTCGTCTTCGACATCGTCTTCGACGTCGTCGTTGTCGTGGTCGTCGTCGTCGTGGTCGTCGTGGTCGTCGTGGTCGTCGTCGTGGTCGTCGTGGTCGTCATTGTGGCCGTCGTCGTGGCCGTCGTCGTCGAATTCTCGCTGAACGGTCATTGCTGATCTCTGGAATCGGTTCTGGGCGCTCTTGCCTCGACGCCGGCTGCATTGGCTCTGAAACCGAGGCTCCCGCTCGAGTGCGGGTTTGGGGACCAATGTGTGTGTGTTGTTGGAGGCCTAACTACGACGAGAACGGCTCTCGCTCGATACTTCGTCGCAATTGATGCCGAGACGCCCGGGGCAGAGAGGGCCTCAAACTCCAGAACGGCGCTCTTGCTAGGGACCTCCTCGCAAATCAACAAAACTGTTGGAAGCCCAACTGCGACGACAACGGCTCCCCCTCACGAGTTCCTTACAATTTACCCAGAGACGCCCTGGCCCGAAACTCAGTAACGACTTCTCGGCAGTTGATGCCGAGACGCCCTGGCCAGAGAGGGCCACAAACTCAGAAACGGCGCTCTCGCTCGAGACTCTCTCGCAAATCAAACAATTCGACGGAGGCCCAACTTAGACGGCAACGGCCCCCCGCCCGATACTCAATTATAACTTACTCCTGGACGCACTGGCCAGAGAGGGTCCCAAACTCAGGAACGGCCCTCTCGCTCAAGACTTCTTGCGATTCAATTAAGTTGTTGGTTGCCACACTTCGACGACAACGGCTCCCGCTCGACACTTCCTCTCAATTTACTCAGAGACGCCCTGGCCATAGAGGGCTTCAAAAATGAGGGACAAAACTCTCGTTCGAGGTATCCTCGCAGTTGGGCCGAATCCCACCAGCCCTCTGGGCGTAGATGGTTGAGACGACATTGTCTTCATCTTCCAACAGCCCCTCCTTCCCATGCTCTGGGACTGAATCTATCACTGTTCCCTGTTAATATACACCCCCTACCCCCGGCTACCGGCAGCCAAACAGGAACAATGACAACCCCATGAGGGCCACCCCCCACCATCCCTGTCACAAAACCAATGCAAAATAAACTTTGGGGCAAAGTCTGGAGTCATGCTCGTGAGGCCCGCGAGCACTTTGTATGTGTTTGGACACGGGCGTCGGGGGTGTCAGTATATTGATTGCCTGCTGCGCGCAGGGCTGCCATCCCTGACAAAAAACACAATGCACCTCGCGGTTAAATCTGGATCATGCGCGGCCACCCCGCGATCATTGCCAAGTAGTGGGTTATGGCCTGCTGTGCGCAGACCCACCAGACACAATGATGGGCATTGGTTTTCGACATGGATGGTGGAGGCCGACATGTTTCCCAATGTGTGCTGCCACGTGCGCAGGCGCACCTGACACACTCTGCACATGCCCCGAACGTGGCGCACCTGGCGTGGCTGGAGTATGCGGCACACCTGGCGCACGCGGAGGCACGTGGCGCATCTGGCGCACCAGGCGTGCCTTGCACGCTCGGGCCCACGGGTGCCTGGCGCGCGTGGCGCGCCTGGCACGCGTGGCGCACCTCGCCCGAACGTCGTGCACACGGGCTTGATGTTGGTTCCCAGTAACTGTGCATCCAAAGACGACCGCTGAACATGCTGAGGCTCGGGTGTTACTTTGTGTTGGGAGGGCGGGTGTGAGTGAACCAGACGGCTTGCCATCTAGGAGGGTCTCTTGACCCTTCCCCTACCCCGTTCCCTGGGCCTGGGAGAGGGGGGGGCCCGAGGGGTTAGAGCGTCCAAGATGGCCCAAAATGGCCCCAAAAAGGTCTCTGAGAGCGCAAGATGGATACCTCAAGATAATTCAAGATAGCCTCTGACACACATTCAAGAGGCTTCAGGACGACCCCAAGATGATTTCGAGTACCCTCCGAGCCCTCCAAGGACCATCCAATAGGCCAGAATCGTTACAATACCTGAAGGAAATCCATGTGTTTTGCAGTCTTGCCTTTTCGGTTCCCGTGTGCTCTTGAGGTCTCAAAATGGCCCCAAGGCGGCCCAAGAGAGCCCAATGAGGGGCTAAGACAACCCCAGGATCGCTCAAGAGCGCCTCAAGAAGGCCTCAAGGGGGGACCTGAATCCGTGACCCCCCTCTCTTTGAGACATGGTGCCCAAGACGGCCCCAAGAGTCCTCCCAGACCCCTTCAAAGAGCCCCAGGAGGGCCCCAAGAAAGCCCCCAAAGAGCCCCAAAGGGGCCTCGAGAGTGCCCAAAGAGACTATGCGAGGACCCCCAGAGGGCCCCCACATGGCTCGAAGAGATCTCCGAGACAACGATCCCAAGGCGGTTGTTACACTGCATGCTTCGACACTGCCCTGATCAAGGCAACTCGCCTGGCGATCTGTTCCTGGATGGGCCGATGGGGATATTTTCTGTCTGGTCGCGGGCCGACGCGGATTCGCAGTCGCCGAGCTGAGAGGTCCGGGCCACGGGCCGGTGGGGATACTTTTTTTGGTCGTGGGCGGACGCGGTCACGCAGTCGCCGAAGGGGAGGTCCGGGGCACGGGCCTGCCAAATCGGCTACGCGCGAGCCTAGAGCGAAGCGGCCGGGCCTGCACTCATTAGCAGCCGCCGGCGGGGCTGCAGCTGATGGGAAGCTGGCTGAGCTGCCTGCTGAAGGCCAGGGTAGCAGGTGCAACATGCAAGAGAAAGGCTGAAAGACGCCAGAGGGCCGGTGGGGATACGCGAAGCGTCAAGAATTGTTTGAGGCCCAACTACGACGACAACGGCTCCTGCTCACAAATTCCTTACCATTTACTCGGAGATGCCCTGATGATATGCATTGTCAGGCTCAGGAACGGCGCTCTCGCCCGAGACGTCCTCGCGAGTCCTGCAAAGTGGTAAAAACCATCTAAGGCGGCAGTGGCTCCCGCTCGATACTTTTTCACGTCTTGTTCTGAGACGCCCTGGACCCCCAAACTCAGGAACGGCGCTCTCTACCGAGACGTCCTCGCAAGTCGTTCAATGTGGTAAAAAGCCTAACTAGACGACAGTGGTTCCCGCTCGATACATCCTCACGTTTTGCTCTGGGACGCCCTGGAGGCCCCTCACACTCAGGAACGGCGCTCTCTGCCGAGACGTCCTCGCAACTCGTCCCAGAAGCCGGGCTACGACGACAGTGGCTCCCGCTCGATACTTCCTCACGTTCTACTCTGAGTCCCTGGAGGCCCCCGAACTCAGGAACGGCGCTCTCTACCGAGACTTCCTCGCACTTCACGCTGCCCTCAAGCTGGAGGGGCTGAAGCTGTGTGCGGGCGCACTTGCTCGCTCTACGGCCACGGTTTCGCGGTGAGCATATGGAGAGTGCACTGCCGAATGCCTCTCCCAGGCCCTGGTGTCGAAAGTCCCCCTAGAATGGGACTGACTCGTAGACTCAGCGGGCGGGCAGTAGGGAGAGGGAAAAGCACATGAAGGTCGAAGCAGTCTGTCAGATCACATGCTCGCAAGATTGCCGTCGTTCTTGTCGTGGTCGACGCTTTGGTCGACGGGGCAGCGCCGCCCTCTCGCCCGAGAACCTTGAGCTGGGCGGCTTCCCCCCGGGCCGTAGGCGACCCGAGGAGGAGAAGGAGGAGGAGGAGAAGAGGAGGAGAAAAGGAGAGGAGGGAGAAGGAGAAGGAGAAGGAGAAGGAGAAGGAGGAGGAGGAGGAGGAGGAGGAGGAGGAGGAGGAGGAGGAGGAGGAGGAGGACGGGTCGCCTAAGCCCTTCGGAGAAACCCTCCACCTTGAGCCCCTGGCGCAGCTCTGGCAGCCTCGCGCAACCTCGGTTCCAGCATGGAGGCAGCATCAGCAGAATGAGCGTCCCCGCCGCGAGGAACCATCGGGAGCAGAACCATGAAGCAGGAAGGCGTTGAAAGTAGACCAGGTGTCCGCCCGCCCCAATGAGGACGTAAAAAGGTGAAGCCACTCGATCGTTGAAGTAGGGAGGCGCTTAGAGTAGACTGGAATCTGGGAAGCCAAAAAGACCTACATGCAACGACCGATGGGCACCAGAGTTGCAGCCCAGCGCCATGCAGTGGGTGGGCCCAGCTGCGATTCGGAGGCCGCCGCGAGGGGCGTGGTGCCGGCGGGCGCCTCGCCGAGGCAGCCCCGGCCCCGGAGCCGGGGGGCGGCTTGGAGTCCTCGCGGGACGTGACGCTCCCCTCCTCGCGGGGGCGGGGAGGGAAAGAGGAGAGGAGGAGGAGGAGGAGGAGGAGGAGGAGGAGGAGGAGGAGGAGGAGGAGGAGGAGGAGGGGGAGGAGGAGGAGGAGGAGGAGAAGGGGAGGAGGGAGGGGAGGGGAGGAGGAGGAGGGAGGAGGAGGAGGAGGAGGAGGAGGAGGAGGAGGAGGAGGAGGAGGAGGAGGAGGAGGAGAGGAGGAGGAGGAGGAGAGGAGGAGGAGAGAGGAGGAGGAGGAGGAGGAGGAGAGGAGGAGGAGGAGGAGGGGGAGGAGGAGGAGGAGGGGAGGAGGAGGAGGAGGAGGAGGAGGAGGAGGAGGAGGAGGAGGAGGAGGAGGAGGAGGGAGGAGGAGGGGGAGAAGGGGAAGGGGGAGGAGGAGGAGGAGGAGGAGGAGGAGGAGGAGGAGGAGGAGGAGGAGAAGGGGGAGGGGGAGGAGGAGGAGAAAAAGGAGGAGGAGGAGGAGGAGGAGGAGAAGGAGGAGGACGGAGGAGGAGGAGGAGGAGGAGGTTGCTGGGGACGGGCCTGAAGCCAGATCACCTCCTCGTTCAGCCAAAATCGGACGCCTCCGAGTCTGACTCGAAACCGTTGTTCGAGGCTCGGAGGGAGGCGGCACCTAGGTCCTTGACCCAGGGTAAATCCGACACTGCAAGGCCGAACGAATCCAAAACCTGCTCTCGCGGGGCGAAGCCCACCGCGAAGCCAACAGTGGCAGGGCCTGAAACTCCCTGGGGGGCCTGGCCATCTTCCTCCAGCGTCTGAGCCAAAACCCTCCGCTCGGCGAGGCTAAGGCTCACGTGAGCCCCCAGAGTTAAATTCTTCAGGTCCTTCTTGTACGACGGAAACTTGCCCTGCCGAATCCTTCTCAGCTGGTCGTTAATTCCGCCCGTCGTCGATTTGGGCCTACACAGGCCTTTAGCTCCAGCATTGGGAGCCCCAGAGAAAAACGATCCGCACCGACAACAAAACTGGATCCTACCCCTGGGGTTTCCAGGAGGTTCCAAGACAGGGCAGGCCAAAAACGCATGACCGCTGGCCCGAAAAACTTGCCGAGAGAAAGGCCGCCACTCCTCCCCCAAGTCCAAAGAACCTCCCACCTCCCTTTGGTCGTCGGCCAGGGCCTGGCCGTGGGCATCATCGTCATGTGGGTGCTGCCGCTGGCCATCGCTGCCTGTCGACCTGGGCACTAGGCCCGTTGAGTCACGGGGCCCACTGGACATCAGCACCTCGACCGATCCAGCCCACCTGCAGGCCTCGCGGGCGAGGCACCTGAGGCCTCTGTACAAGTTGGCCTCATCGTCACTGACCCCATGACACTCAGCTCCTAATTTAGCGAACATATCAGCGAGCCCATTGGCCCGTCTTTCCCAAACACTGCTTCTGCCAGCCTCGACGTCGGCCGCAGTAGCGTGGCCGAGCGTCTTATGACACTCGAAATCGCTGAGAGTAAACGAGCTCCACACGGGGCCCCACAGATGACCGCGGGGGGCTCCAGGGCCCTCCGCGAACCCAGGGCCCCGAGCCAGCGAATCCAGAGTGCTCTGGCAATCAATATAGCATTGAAACGGGGGAAGACCTACTTGCGTAAGCATATATACAGCATAGTCTTCCCCGTCTTTACTAGTTTGCTGCGGGGCCGCACTCAGTGGAACGGGGCCGTAAGCCGCCGAGATCAACTCCCCAAACCTGTCGACCGACACGATACTCCAACCAGCCCGAGTGAGCCCATCGAGGCCCATGTATTTAGCCGACCCGTCAAGGAAGAGCAACCCCGTCAAGTACCCCGTCTCGGGCCTCTCGTGCCAGTGAACAGATTGCGCGGGCTCCTCTACGTCGAAGAGCGAGCGAGGGTGAGGAAAGATGCACCTCGCGAACCTCTCCGCCATCAGCGGCCCGAACTGCTTCACTCTCCGCGCACACCTGCACAAGTGAACACTCGCAAGGTCTCGCCGCAGGACTTCATGCGCAGGGCACTCGTACTGACGGTGCCACAAAGTACCTGGGGCCCCCTTGCACACCTGACACTGATCATCATCGTGAAGGTTGTGAGCATGCAGTCGAGCTTGGGGCCAATGGACTCCCGAGACCAAGCCTCTTAAGCATCTCTGATGGTGCTTCCCCCAGTCTTCAGACTTCTCCCTGAACAACCTGGAAATACCATCCCAGAAGATAGGGTACACAGGCGGCCCATCAAGGCCATTCTGCAAGTGAAGAGCATGTCTATCTGACGCTCGCACAGCACCTTGCCTGATCAAAGTCCTGACCTGCATCGGGGAAAGCCTGAACAAGTCGTGCACCACATTCAAGTCATCTTTGATGGTGTGCTGGTCTACAAAGTCCCAGCCTATCCCTCGCAACGTTAAAAGCGCGACGTCGCTGGGAGAAGACGCTGACCTCCAAGGCTGAGCTGAATTCTGAAACTTGGCGATCGAGACCCTCATGGCATTGGCCAACACCTGAACGTGAGGGACAGCTTCCCAAACAGCAGTGGCCCACATAAAAAGAACGCGCCCCACATAAACCACCAGAGGGTCTACCTTGGCCCCGAGCCCGTACGTGTACATCCTGAGCCCAACCGAAGCACCTTTAGGGAGCCTGCCTAGGGAACTTGCAGCACCAATACGGAGCCCAGCCATTTTTGTAGGGGCCACCCCAGAGACCGAGGATCCCCAGAGGGCCGATGCCACGGGCCCCATCCTGTGAACCATACCGATGTCGGCTCCAGCTCCTTGCAATATCTTGAGCCTCCTGGCCCTGCGCGAAGCACCTGCAAACCTTGAGTTTTGAATTCCAATCCTGCGGAGGCCTCCCAGGGTAGCGTTGGTCCAAAGATTCCGCGCCGCGTCGGTGCGGCACGAGGTAGGAAGGGACCAGGCCTTGGACAGGTGCGCCTCAACCTCCTTCGAACAGAGGTAGGCACACTTCTTAAACTCCACGGGAAGCTGCAGCTGCTTGAAGCTCTTGAACAGAGACTCTACTCCACCAGCCAATTGGGCCGCAACCTGAAGCTTGGGCCCGCAACTCTGAACAGTGATGTCGTCCACCACATTGCGCACATACAACAAGTTCCTGCTCTCACGGGCCTCCAAGAGCGGTCCTAGAAGCAACATCTTGGCGAAAGTCGTGGCCCCCGAGCACCCGGCTACGATCGCCCCGTTCGACTCGACGACGGCCGACGAAGCTCCCCCGTAAAGAAGCACACGGTAGCCTGCATAGATGGCACAGTAAGCTTTGACCAACCTAACTGGAAAGCCAAACCGTTTAGCTGCAATCAGAAGGTCCCCGTGGTTGACATTCTCATAGAACTTAGCCAAGTCCAAGAGTGCCGACGCTGATTTCGAAACCTGCTTTACGACAATGAGCCCCGAGCAAGTTGTGGACCCATCCAGCCCTCTCACACGTAGTGTCGGGCCCAGAGCCCCAGAACAACTCGTACACGTGGAACTTTTCCCATGAACGGCAATACGGCTGCCTCAAACGGCCCCAGAGCTTCATGAAAAGGCAGAGCAATCCGATCGGCCTGACCCCTCCCGTCGGTTTGTCCAAGAAAACCACATTGGTCAGAAACATCAGGAAGGCCCCAGGGTCAACCTCGAAGAGCGTCAAAATCTCCAGAAGACGAAACTGATGGCTTTCGGGCAGCTGCAATACCCACCTCGGGTGGAATCCATCCCAGCCTAGGCCCGCCGCGGGCCCGTACATCCTGCAAACTCGGTGTAAATCCTCCAGTCTGAGCGGGGAAAGGGCAGGCTCGTCGGCAGGAACTTCCCAGGAGCTCAGTGCGGGCCCACGGCCAGCTCGAAACCACATCGGATGCCACGCATCGAGAAGCTCTTGCACTGCGGCCTGACCAGCCACTGGAAGCCGAGGATCATCTGACATACCTCGCGAACAAACACTCGAGACCTGTTGCTTGGAGAAGGCGTGAGCTGCTTTACCACCTCCAGAGACGGCACTCTTGGCCCATTCCTTCCACTTAGCCAGCTGCGAAGCCGCGTCCAGCCGCTGGCGACGAGTGCACTCTTTGCAGATGGCCCCATTGACGTCGTCGTTCCAGGATCCTTCCCCCGATGCCGCCATGACCATGGTGTGCAACTGGGCCTTGGTGGGCCCCTCTTCAGTCAGCTGGAGGTCATCCAAAATGTCGAACAGCTTAAGCTTCCAGGATCCCAAAAGAGCTCTCCCCTTGGCGCCTGGGTTCCCAACACTGATAGCTTTTGCCTTCCTGAGCAGGGCCTCGAACGAGATCCAGCAGACAGTCTGCTTCGAGAAACGTCGACGGTGATCTCGCTCTAGCAGCGCAGCTAAGGGAACTTTCCGAGACTGGGGCCCAGCGGAGCGACCAACGTACCCTTTCTGATCACATATCCCATGAATTTCAACCAGGCGAGCTTCGGCTTCCCCGAACCACTCCCGAGCAAGCGAGTCCAAATCTGAGTCTAGAGGGTCGCTCCATTGGATGTCCCTTTCCTGCGGCAGCGGCCCCATGAGCGCGGTGCTGAACGGCTTGAAACGCGTCTGCTGCTGGACCACAGCCGTCTGGCAGAGGTTACCCAACCGAAGCAGCACAGGGCAATGGGGGAAAAGCGGCGCTCCTCGGATAGCCTGGACATCCTTAATGCATGAACTGATAGCCGATGACACGACGAAGTAGTCTAGCTCCCTTCCTCCTCCGTCATGCTCCGTCAGCTCCTCCTCCTCCTTATCTTCTTCCGTGGCAGTCCTAGGAGCGCAGGCCGAGCAAGTTGCCTGGCCAGGAGCGGCTAGCACACCGTGCACATGCTGTATCCAACCTGATAGCTGGTGAGCCGCGGGCGTGAAGTTCCAATCACCTTGCACAACCCACGGACGCTTACTGCACAATAGGAGCGCTCCCAACACTTCCAAAATCTCTAGATTCTCGCCCGTCACGCCTATGTCGTTGACAAGATAGACACTGTAGATCTCAAGGCCCTGGTCGAACCCCGCATTGATGACCCGACCTACGATCCT